AGGGCTAAGCAACTCAGTGAGACCCTGTCTCTAAATAGAATACAAAATAGGGATGGGGATGTGGCTCACTGGTTGAATGCCTCTGAGTTCACTCCCCAGTACCAAAAAAAAAAAAAAAGAGATAGTTTTGTGCTGTGTAGTTTTCCTAACTGTAAGGTTGTGATGTGCCTTACAGAGAAATTATATGTGTTGAATAAGTTTCCTTTAGGCATGAGTTACAGAGCATTTGACTGTGAATTCAATGTTAATGAATCAACAATATATATTAAATAATTGTTTTAAAGAGAAACACACAAAATAAATTTGGATATTGACTCAGTTGATGAAAATATGGTGACCAGAGACTTATAAGAACCTATCCCTGTATTATTCCTTGAAGTAATATTTCAGTATTTGTTAATTCAGTGTTCATGGTGATTTTCTAGAACATGACTAGTGCAAATAATGAGAATTAACTATTATATACTTTTAATTTTTGAGCCATGTGAATATAGTAGCTATACTAAAAAGTAGTTAAATTTTAAAAATATTCAAGAACTGATAGTGACTTGAGTATTATATAATTTTCACTTACTATTCTATTTAAGCAACCTCATTAGTTATCTTTATCTTAGTGAAGCAGAAAGGAAAGGTGAAGAATCCAGATCAAAATACAGGCTTCCCAGGGACTGGGAAGAGAGAAGCACAAGGAGAGACAAATTTTTATTTTATATTATTAATTTATTTTTCACTATGCTAAGCAAACCCAGAATCGTGTGCATACTTGAGGTGAGCACTTTACTACTGAGCTACATGCCCAGCCCAAGAAAAAAGTTTTGCATAATGCTTTCCTTTAAATTTTAAAAGGAATTTTAAAATGGTATCTAATATTTAGATTTTTTCATTATTATGAAAAATTATTAGGACATATTTTGACTTCTAACACTCATAATATACTGGTCATTGATTTGCATTGTTTGAATTAATAGTGGTTGACTACTTTTTTTGTGTGTGTGATGTTGGGGCTCTAACAAAGGCAAGCACTCTACCACTGAACTGTATCCCCTCCACAGCAATTGAATTCTTTAAAGCAAGCACTATGCTGTGTTCTAGGTACAAGGTGGTAAAAAAAAAAAAAAAAGACTCATGGATTTTGTTCCCATTAGGTTTACAATCTGTTCCCATTGGGTTTACATTGAAGGGGATCAATGTTAAATAAATAAGACATAAATACATAAGTAGTTACAACCTGATAGGTGTATGGAAAAAATAAAGCACTGATTCATTGAGAAAGTCAGAGGTAGAAAAACGACCTTTAGATGGGAAGGTGAGTCATGAAAGACTTCTCTAAGGAAATTCCACTTGAGTTACAGCCAGAGGATGAGAAGGAGTTATTAAGGAAGATGGAGAAAGTTAGGGAGATGGTGGCAGGAATATTTTGGACAAAGAGAATGATACTTTCAATGTGCCTAAAGTGGAAGTGTTTCAAAAATTAAAGGAAGAACTGAGTACGTGGTACATGCCTGTAAWTCAGTGACTGGGGAGGCCGAGGAAGGAAAATTGCAAGTTCAAGGCCAGCCTCTGCAGCTTTGAGAGGCCATAAGAAACTTAGCTAGACTCTGCTGCCTGTTCAGAACCCATCTATTAATCTAGAGCAGTTGTGAAGAAGATTCATCAACTTAGATAAAAATACAAACGATGGAGGGGCTGGGGTTGTGGCTCAGCGGTAGAGCGCTTGCCTAGCATGTGTGAGGCACTGGGTTTGATTCTCAGCACCACATAGAAAATAAATAAAGATATTGTGTTCATCTATAGCCAAAGGTATTTTTTAAAAAATACAAATGATGGCATAATTTTAAGGAAATGCAATTTAGTTATTTTTTTTTCACATTGACTCAATTATTTGCCAAAAGATGGTCTTGGTTGGCTTATTGATGACTAGGTAAAAATAATTTGAATTAGTAAATTAAATTGTTGATCATCTGAAGTGCTTAAAAACAGACTATCTTTTAAGTATTTGTCTTTAATATCATTTTATTTTAAAAAATTATTGAATCCTGTTATGTACAGAGATAATAATTTGAGCCCTCAGGATATTTGTAACCTAATATTCTCTTCTATGGAAGTTATTATAGCCCATCACCAGCATACCACAATTAACATTTCCATGATAGAATATTATAGTTAGCTAAGAATCACTTTAAAAGAATGATATATAGTGAAGCCAGGCACAGTGGCACATGCCTATAGTACCAACTACTTAGGAAGATCACTTGAACCCATGAGTTTGAAGACAGCCTAGGCAACATATCGAGATCTCGTGTAAAWAAAAAAATGAATATATAAAATGATGCAGTCATAGAAATTTGAAATAGATTTATTAAGCTCTTTTAGACCACCAAGTTACAAAAGGCTATTGAAAGAAAAAAATAAAGAGTGCAAAATAAAACAAGGACAAACTTCTCAGATTGTCCTTGGTGGACCAATTCTAATACAGTGACATCTATGGTACCTTATTCATTTACTTTGCAAGCTTTTTTCAGAAATATGCAAAGCTTTATAAAGTGAAAGCAAAACTATATTTTCTAATTAGTAATGGCAAATATATATTGATGTTGATACATTTCATCTTTATTTCTACAGCAGGTAAAATTAAGAGAAAGTATTTCATCTTCTTGACTTGTTATAAAATGAAGAGGTCCTCTAAATTTCTGGGTAAGAGCAATAACTGGCAATCCCACAATGATTTTTACTATTTCTTGCCATCCGAATATATCCTTCTTCACCAAAGTGGAGGCCCCAGCTTTAGAAAAAAAAAGACACAAAATTACAAATGAAAAAAATYAAAATTATATTATCAACTTTTTATCTTTTTGGTTGTTTTTATTCTAAAATAATTATATGTGAAAAGCTATAAGACAATTTGAATGAAATAACATAATAATTTCCCCAGAGATGCAGGCAATTTTCAAATGACAGTTTGGAAGGCTTTAGATCTACAGTATTGAATAGACTTAATACTCAAGGAAAAAATGGATGTTTACCTTCTATAGGGAAAGAGTGGTATTATCCTTTATAATCAATCTCTAAATTTGCATAGTAGGATCATGGATGATGATTTTCTAACAAATTAAAATTCATCTGGGGGCTGGGGATGTGGCTCAAGCGGTAGCGCGCTCGCCTGGCATGCGTGCGGCYCGGGTTCGATCCTCAGCACCACATACCAACAAAGATGTTGTGTCCGCCGAGAACTAAAAAATAAATATTAAAATTCTCTCTCTCTCTCTAAAAAAAAATTCATCTGGAGAATATCTTTTTAAAAAATATTTATTTAGTTGTAGATGAACACACAATATCTTTATTTATTTTTATGTGGTGCTGAGGATGGAACCCAGAGCCTCACACATGCGAGGCAGGCACTTTACCACTGAGCTCAGCCTCAGCCCCTGGAGAATATCTTTTTAAGAAATACTTTTGAGTAACTACTGTGAAAATGTCAGGTCAGGGGATTCTAAAGTAAATGATAAACAGTGCAGTTCTGAAAGAGCTTTTTGATCTGGAAGCGGATGTGAGATAAGACTTTATCGTAGGTAAAGCTATAAAAAATGATATGTTACCCTGTGAGAAGGTGAGCTCCCTGACGCTTGTTTAATCAGAAGTTTGTTGCCTAAGTTAAAGATTTACAGAGAGAATTCACACGCCAGCTAATGGTCAGAGAAAACCCATGGTTCACTCACTTTTTGGTTCCATGGACGTGGGATTTAAATTTTTTTTTTTTTTTTGCAGCTTGACATAAAGATACCAATTTAAAAATTGTCATGTGTGAACAAAAATATATTCTAACCTGTCTGGCACAGAGTAAGCAGTCAATAAATGGTTATTAATATTAATAATATCTTGGCAAGAGCTTATTGTTATTGCTTTTGCTCATCAAAATAGATACTGAGCAATACATTCCTTTATAACAGTGACAATGGGGTTTGAATTTTAGTGTAAAAGGTTTTTTGTGCAAAATCATTAGAGATTTTTAAGGAGAGCATAACGAATAAGTAAAAGGAAGAACAAGAAGGGAAAAAAGAAGCCTATGAAAGTATTTGAGAAGGAATGACCAAGAGACCAAAAAATCAGGACATAATGATGTCTTAAAGCCAAGAGAGAAGTGAAGTGGAGTAGGCTACTGTATCGAATGATGCAGAGATAAAAATAAGACCCGAAAAGTGTCCAGTGAGGACTGACACAAAGAATATTTAAAACCTCTTAAAGCACAGTCCCTTTAAATTATGCTGCTTGATTTCCAGCAATAAAGCAGCACTTCTTCTCTCCGCCACATGTAAAAATCACAATCTTCTTCTGAATCCCTGCGCAAAAAGTTTGCAATAGCTTCCCTTTGCCTATGAAACTGAAGTTTCTCATTTTGCTATCCTCTGCTATTCAYAACTTTGCCCCAAACCAACTTTCTGCCCTTTTCTTTCCCTCCACTCTTTCACTGAAGATATCCAATTTTCCGTTCAACTAAATTTCCTGCTGCTTTCCCAAAACATTAGGTATTTTCTCTATTTTATGTTTTTATCTGTGCCCTAGTTACAGCACTCAGTCATCATCCTGTGAGGTATTATCACTGTCAAAAGTAACACAGATGGTAAATTATGAAGCCGAGGTTCAGATCTAGGTTGTTTTATTGCAAAGGCAACTCTAACCGTACCATCCCTATCCCTGTGTTATCCCTGCAAGTGAAGTAGTACAGGGAAGGAAATTGAGACCAGAACATTCAGGATCTTTTATAATTCATAATTTTGTTAGTATTTGCTGCCTTAAAAACTAGGTAAAATAAATCACTTTTTCTGAGCTGAGTTTGGACCTGAATTCTGGTAGTGAAAACTGAAGTTATAGATATTGTTGCAGTCAYATGCTGCACAAAAACATTTCAGTGAGCAATGGATCACATATACAAAGTGGTCAAATAAGATTATAATGGAGCTGCAAAATTCCATCACCCAGTGATGTTGTAGCTGTCATAATGTTATATAGAACTAGGCATTATGTGTGTGTGGTGATGCTAGTGTAAACAATTCTGCTATACTGCCACTTGTATGAAAACATAGCACAGGGCTGGGAATTTAGCTCAGTGGTACAGCATTTACCTAGCATTTATGAAGCCCTGGGATTGATCACCAGCAAACCCGTCACCCATCCCACAAACACAAATTATATAGCACATACAATTGTTATGATAGCAAACAACTATATTACTGGTTTATGTGTCTACTAGATTTTGGGGGGCTGCACTGGGGATTGAACCCAGGGCTGCTGTACCACTGAGTCACATCCACAGCACTTTTTACTCTTTGAGACAGGGTCTCACTAAGTTGTGTAGGATCTCACTAAGTAGCTAAGGCTAGCTTTGAACTGGGCAATCCTCCTGCCTCTTCCTCTACAATGGCTGGAATGATAAGTATGTGCCACTGTGTCAAGCCTGAGGACAGATTCGTACCTTTAAGACTATACAAGGTGTGCTCCAAATGTTCATTTCAGTCCTTATCAGTTATTTTATTAATTGGGAATGAACAAAATTCAATCTTCTAAGAGATGAATAAGAACAATTTTGATGATCTAAGAGGATTTGTTCAAGCATATCCTTTGGGGAGCCTAGAATTCTTGTGTACATTCAATCTTTYCTGGGACATATTGCCAGCAAGAGCTGTGGACTTTTCATTTTTTGGTCCCTGTGTATATTGCATCTCTCTAACAGGCACCTAATATCACAGCCTTTAGAAAAGTACATGCAGTTGCCCTAACTCATGTACTTTTTCTCTCTGCTCTTCTCTTGCACATTTAGCTTTCTCTGCTCTGATTGCCATTTTGCACTTGTTCAACTCCTTCTGTCCCTCAATATGTACTCAAATAACCTAGGTACAAGGCCTTGCCTGATTATCTAGGCTAGTCTAACAACTCTTCTTTTATGCTTCCTTAGCAACCTATGCACACCCCTGTTTTAACATTTGTTACATTCTGTTGCAGTGGTCTGTACATGCACCTATGTCTTGACTCTTAATAGATTATGGTTGCTTAGCACCTCGTTTTGCTGAGGCTGGCTTTGAACTCATGATCCTCCTGCCTCAGCCTCCCGCGCCCTTGGGATTACAGGCATGTGCCCCGCATAGATGCTTAATAAACACTTGTTGAATGGGTGAGGGCAGGGAACAGGTTACGAATTTCAATAYTAAAAGATATAGATAACCTTCAAGAAGAACAGCTTCAAGAGAGAAGGGAATTTATAACATTTACTTAGGGAGTCCACAAGAATGTGAGAAAATATTGTTTCATTTAACAAAGTTATCAATATGGCCAGGACTGGTGGCTCATGCCTGTATCCCAGCTACTGTGAAGTAGGGTGGAGTGAGGTAGGAGGATTGCGAGTTTGAGGCAGCCTCTTCAAGTTAGGGAGACCCTGTCTCAAAATTAAAAAAAAAAAATTCAGGGGCTGGGGTTATAGCTCAGTGATAGTGTGCTCCCTACTATGTGTGAGGCACTAGATTTAATTCTCAGCACCACATATAAATAAATAAAATAAAGGTCTATCAACAACTAAAAATAATATTTGAAAAAAAGTTTAAAGGACTAGGGATGCAGCTCAGTGGTAAAGCACCCCTACTACTGGGGGAAAAAAAAAAAGGTATTACTGGTGTACACTCAAGCTGAGCAGCAATCAGGGCTTCTGGGTGTGCCACAGCATGAAAAAGGTAAGAAAACACCTTTTTGTTTGTTTATTTGTTTGGAAGTTGTAGACTATATACTTCCAGGAAAGAGTAGAGAAGTGTTATGGATAGAATTGTGTTCCCTGAAAATTCATGTTAGTACCTCAAAATGTGGCTTTCTTTAGAAATAAGGTCATTACAGATGCCATTAGTTAAATTAAGAGGAGGTTATTAGGTTATCCCTGTCCAACTGATGTCTTCTGAAAAGGGAAAATTGACCTGGATTCAGTGGTTCATGCTGGATTCAGCAGCTCAGGAGGCTGATGCAGTAGGATTTCAAGTTTGAGGCCATAATAATAATAACAATAGTAATAAAAATGGAAAATAAATAAAATAAAAAGGGAATATTAGACACAGCAAACAGGGGGAATGTCATGTGAAATCGGAGGCAGAAATCAGACTGATGCTTCTGTAGGCCAAGGAAAACCAAAACCAGCAAACCTTCAGAAGCTAGGGGAAAGGTGTGGAGCATTTTAAAAAAATATTTATTTTTTAGTTGTAGTTGGACACACTACCTTTATTTATTTATTTATATGTGGTGCTGAGGATCGAACCCAGKGYCTCACACGTGCTAGGTGAGCACTCTGCCACTGAGTCACAACCCCAGCCCCAAGCATTCTTTTAAAAATTAAAATATATAGTGAGGCACAGTGGTGTACACCTGTAATCCCAGCAGCTCAGGAGGCTGACACAGGAGGATAGCAAGTTCAAAGCCAGCCTCAGCAATGGCGAGGYSCTAAGCAACTCAGTAAGACCTGTCTCTAAATAAAAGACAAAAAAGGGCTGGGGATGTGTGTGGCTCAGGGGTCGAGTGCCCCTGAGTTCAATCCCCCATCCCCCCCAAAAATATATTTAATTAACAAATATTTTATATTCAGGGTGTACAGTGTGATGATTTGATATATGCATACCGTGTGCAGTGATTATCATAATCAAATTAAGTAACACATCTATTTCCACCTATGCTGTACATTAGATCCCCAGAACTTTTTCATGTTATAACTGAAAGTCTGTACCTTTTGGTCAACATCTCCTCATATTCCCCATCCCTATCTCCTGGCAACTACTGTCCTGCCCTCTATTTCTATGAGTTTGACTTTTTTAGATCTCACATATAACTACAATTATATAGTATTCTTTTTGTGCCTGTGAACATTTTCTTCCTCATAAACCTTATGATCATAAACCTAACCCTGATGATATCTTTATCTCTGACATCTGTCCTTTAGAACTGGAAGACATAAATTCTTGTGGGTTTGTTTTTTATTTTGTTTTGTTTTGGGTACCAGGGATTGAATCCAGGGACACTAAACCACTGAGACCATTCTTAGCCCTTTTTTGTATTTTATTTAGAGACAGGATCTCACTGAGTTGCTTAGGGTCTCACTAAATATTGCTGAGGGTGGCTTTGAACTTGCAATCTTCCTGCCTCAGCCTCCCAAGATGCTGGTATTACAGGTGTGTGCCACTGTGCCTGGCCTAAACTTTTGTTTTTTAAGACACTCAATTTGGGGCTGGGGTTGTGGCTCAGAGATAGAGCACTCGTCTAGCATATGTGAGGCACTGAGTTCGATCCTCAGCACCACATAAAAAYAAATAAAATAAAGGCATGTGTCCTAACAACAACTTAAAAAAWTTTTTTTAAAAAGTCACTCAATTTGTAGTACTTTGTTATGGCAACCGTAGGAATATAATATAAGAAGATGCTTTGAGTATGTGTGAGTCTTAACTCTTCATATTCCTCCCATTTTACCCTTCTAAAAGTCACATTCCTTTTGTTTATGAATTATGTAGATGTAATTTTAATATGTGTATTGAGGGGCCATTAGGTGCTGCTCATACTGTACGGAGGATAAAAGACAAGACATAATCTCTACCCCAAAGGCATATACAGAATATTGGAATGACAGGAAGTGTACACATAATGTACAGCATGCTGTGACTCACTAGTCATAGGACATTTGGTCAGCATAGAGGAAAGACATTTTACTCGGCACAAAGATTCAAAGATTTTCTGGAATAGATAATRCCTGAGCTGCTTTTGAAGGCAAAGAAAGAATAAAGAAGAAGACATGAAGATATGAAGAATTAAATGGTAGAATGAAGATTATAACTGCAAATCGTTCAATGTAACTGGAGTGGAAAGTATGGGACAATAAATGCCAGGATTTGAGACTGGCGAGACAGGTAAGGATTACAACATGGAAGACTTTTCATTATGCAGGAAACATCAATTTTACATTGAGTAGTACTAAGTAGAAGCACTATAAGTGCAGACCCCTATCTTAAATCAGTTTGGCAGCAGTAAGAAAGACAGGTTTATAAGTAAAGGAGGTGAGTTAGAAGGCTGCAGCAGTAGTYCATGTAGGAGATGTCTGAACTAGAGGAGTAATAGAAGAAGAGAGGAGACAGAACCAAGGATAGATGCCAGGTAAAATCAGTTTGACTTGTTGCTTGATTGGAACTGGAAGGCTCTAGGGTGGTTCTATAGTATCTTATTAGGTGACTGTATTGTGTGATGTTGCCATTTACTGATATGGGAAATTCTGGAGAGAATAGTATGGTGGAGAAGGTACTAAGTTCTTAGGCAGGTTGAGTTTGGAGAGACTAAAATATAGGAAAAGTGTATATAACTAGATAAGTCTGAAGTTCTGGGTGGATGTCAGAGCTAGAGCTAGAGACAGAGAAGCCATCAGCTTATAGATTATGTTTAAGGTCRCAATGACGTAGAAAAATGTAGAATAAGAAGAGTAATGGGCAGATGGTGGAGCTCTAGTATTGTAGAAGGTAAATGATGAAAACAGAGATGAAGGCAAGACAGTAAGTGGAGAAATAGGGGCACTGAGTAATTCAGAATGTCACTTTGTAAGAAGCTATAAATATTCATCATTGTAAGTATCATGATTATCATCATAATCATAAGAGCACATTTATTGAGGCTCCCTTGAATTCCTGATTTAATTAAATATACTAATGTGAAATACGTCACCTGTTTTTCACAAGCCAATAGTCTTTCCCATTAGAGTTACCATAGCCAACCACTAGTACACCATGATTCACATTCTGAGTACAGGATGAGTCATAGTAGACACCTGCAAATAAAGTATGAGTAGGGAAAGATAGTGAATGATATATGATAATAAAGGGCATTTGAAAATTCTATTATTTTTATTAGACTCCTCTGGATATATGGCAGGATTCATTAAGATATCAGGAATATMTATTCTCATGCTTCAGCTACGTAGAGCTCACCACTCTTTGCCATCAGTGCTGTATTTGTCAGGTTCTTGCCAAGTTTGGCACCAATCCATATTTCCCTCAGAAACCTCTGATAAGCYAGCACCTTTGTCTAATTATTTAAAACTTATATATGGTTATTGTATTTCTTTGTATGTATATGCCTAAATTGCTTCATACATTTTCATTCTTTATTAAATGTGATGTTCTGATTTTTTATGTTCTTCAAAGTGAGGTTTAAAATATATTTACTCAGTTGGTAGAATGCTTGCCTCACATGCACAAGGCCCTGGGTTCAATCCCCAGCACCACACACACAAAAAATAATATATATATAAAGCATATATTTTATTTATATAATTATATATTTTAAAAAAATATATATTTATATATTTGGATGGATGTCAGAACATTATACAATGTTAAATATATAATGAACATTATACAATGTTCTACCTTTAGTGGATACTCAGAAAATATGTTATTGAGTTTTGTATGATTGTGTATTTTTTTAAAGTATTAACTTAAAAAAATATAGTGTTAGGTGCCCTCCTTATACACTGCTGTGCTACACCTACACTGCAAAGTCTCTACAGGGGTTAAACGCACAGGCTTAGGAATGAAGTTGAGTACTTGTTGTTGTTGAAGTCCTTTATTTTTAAAAAAAAATATTTATTTATTTTTTAGTTGTAGTTGGACATAATACCTTTATTTTACTTATTTATTTTTATGTGGTGCTGAGGATGGAACCCAGGGCTTCACCCATGATAGGTGAGCGCTTTACCACTGAACCACAACCTCAGCCCTGAAATCCTTTATTTTTTAAAATTTAGATTTCTTTTTAACTGATACATAAAACAAAATAGTACATATTTATGGGCAACCATGTGATAGTTAACATATCTGTCTCCTCAAACATTTATCATTTCTTTTTTTCTTTTTTAAATAAGTTTTTTWAAAAAATTATTTTTTAGTTGTAGTTGGACACCATACTTTCATTTTATTTATTTATTTATTTATTTTTATGTGGTGCTGAGGATCAAACCCAGGGCCTCACATGTGCTAGGCTATCTCTCTAGCACTGAGCCACAACCCCAGCCCCATTTATCATTTCTTTATGGTGAAAATATTCCAGTTCTTTTCTTATATGTTTTTGAAATATACACTACATTATCATCACCTTTTTTTAAACATCATCATTATCTTTTTTTTGAGATAATCACTTGTTTATTTAAATATTGTACTTATGAAAAATCCCAGAATGAGAAACACGAGCATTTGTAATAATAATCAAATAAATATTATCATTATCTTAATGTGTTACTTATGTGCAATAGCACACTCCTTTTAACTATAACTTAGTACCCTTGGATCAACTTGTCACCATCCCTCTCACTTCCTGCTCTTTCTAGTCCCTGATAACCACCATTCTATTCTCAACTGATATGAGATCAACTTTTTTATATTCAACATGAGTGGGGTCAAGTGGTACCTGTCTTTCTGTGTGTGATTTATTTCACTTAGCATAATGATCTTCAGTTCCATTCATATTGTTGTAAATGTCCAGACTTCATTCTTTTTTTATGGCTGAATAGCATTCCATGTTGTATATATGTACCACATTTTCTTAATCCATTCATCAGTTGATGGACACCTAGGTTGTTTCCATTTCTTGTCTATTGTGAATAGTGCTGCAATAAACATGGGAGTGCCAATATCTCTTCAACATACTGATCTCATTTCCTTTGAATATATATCCAGTAATGGCATTGCTGGATCATATGTTATATGGTAGTTTTGATTTTAARGAACCACCATACTGTTTTCAATAATGACTGTATTAATTTTTTTTTCAGTACCAAGTATTGAACCCAGGGGCACTTAACCACTGAGCCATATCCCAGTCCTTTTTAAATATTTTATTTAGAGACAGTGCCTTCCTGAGTTGCTTAGGGCATCCCTGAATTGCTAAGGTTGGTTGGATTCTCCTGCCCTCAGCCTCCTGAGCCACTGGGATTACAGACTTGTGCCACCATACCCAACAACTGTATTAATTTATATTCCCACCAAAGAGTGTACAGGATTTCCATTTCTCCATATCTTCATCAGCACTTGTTATATTTTGTCTTTTTGGTAATAACCTTTCTTACAGGAGCAAGGAGGTATTTCATGCAGTTTTGATTTGCATTTCCTTGTGGATTAGTGATGTTGAACTTTTTTTTTTTTTTTTTCACATACTGGTTGGCTATTTGTCTATTTAGATCTGTTGTTCCAACCCTCAACCCCCCATTCCTTTGAGATATTCCTTTGTCTAGCTTGGTCTTAAACTTGTAGGWTCAAGCAATCCTCAGCCTCCCAAATAGCTGGGGTGATGGGAATGCACCCCTGGGCCCAGCTTGGATTGCCCATTTTAAAATCAGGTTGTTTATTTACTATTGAGTTGTTTAAGGTCCTTACATATTCTGAATATTAACCCCTTATCAGTTTAAAGTTTTCATATATTTTTTCCCATTTTGTAGGTCATCTTTCCACTCTGTTGATTTCACTCAGCTTTGCTGAGCAGAAACTTTTTAGTTTGATGAAACCCTACTTGTCTACTTTTGCTTTTTTTCCCCCTTGTGCTTGTGAAGTCTTGTCCAAAAACTATGGGCCAATTCCAGTGTCCACAGGCATTCTTCCTATGCTTTCTTCYAGTAGTTTCAGGTCTCAAGCTGCTTAAGTCTTTAGTTCATTTTAAGTTGATTTTTGTAACCCATTAGAGGTAGGGGTCTCATTTCATAGGATATCCTCTGCATATATATCCAGGTTCCCAACACCATTATTGAGAAGACTGTCTTTTCTCTGTTCTTAGCACCTTTGTCAAGAACCAGTTGACTGTGGATGTGTGGGTTTACTGTAGGATCTCTATTCTGTTCCAGTGGTC